TATATAGAAAGTAAGCACTACTCCTAAATTCACTCCAAAAAATCCCTTACAAGTTTGAAGAAGTTGAAAGAGAAATGAAATTGCCGACCCAACATGAAAAATGAAATATTTGCAATAACAAAAAATAAATTTCTCATGGATATATATTCAAAAGAGTCGTCACTGCTCCTTAATTCTCCGCATGAATTCATTTCTATTTTTTAAGAGAATGAAATAAAAATGCAATTACTGATCTAACATGAAAATTGATATATTTGCATTAGCAAAAAAAAAAAAATCAAATTCTAATAGATATTTGTAAATTCAGAAAACTAAATTCTCATGGATATATTTTCAAAAGAAACAACACTACTCATAAAGTCTCTCCATACAATCTTCTCTAAGTTTGATGAAGAGAGAAATGAAATGAAAGTATTGATCAAACATGAAAGCTGATATATTTGCAATAGTAAAAAACTAAATTGTCTTGGATATATATTCAAAAGAAACAACATTGCTCCTAAATTCTCTGCATGCATTCATTTTCATGTTTGAAGAGAATGGAATGGAAATACAATTACTGAAATAACATGAGAACTAAGTTTTTTACATTACCACAAAACCAATTTCTCATGGATATATTTTCGAAATAGTCAGCATTGCTTCTAGATAATCTTCATACAATCCTTTTCAAGTTAGAAGCAGAGAAAATGGCATTTCAATTACTTATAATAACATGTAAAATGATATGTTTGCAACAACTCACAAAAATTTTCTCAGAGCATATATTCGAAAGAGCCACCAATGCTCTTAAATTCTGTACATAAATAGTTTTTTCAGATTGTAATAGAGGAAAAAGAAAATGTAATTACTGATCCAACATGAAAATTGAGCTATTTACAATAGCAGTACACATAGTACTCATGAATTTATTTTCAAAAGAACAAAGATTGTTTCTAATTTCTTTACATACAGTCATTTCCATGTTTAAAGAAAGGGAAAGAGAAATGCAATTATTGATCTAACTTGAAAACTGACATATTTGCATAATAAAACATAATTTTATTGGATATATTTACAAAAGAACTAGCACTACTCCTAGATAATCTCCATACAATCTTTTCCAAGTTAGAAGAATAAGAAAGAGAAATGTAATTGGTGATCTTACTTGAAAACTGAGATATTTACAATAAAAAAAACAAAATTCTCATGAATATTTACAATAGCAGAAAAAATCAAATTATCATGAATGTATATTTAAAAGATCTAATCTTGCTCCTAAATTCTTTGTATACAATCAGTTCCAAGTTTGAAGAAAAAGAAAGAGAAATGTAATTAGTGATATAACATGAAAACTGAGATATTTGCAATAGCAGAAAACCAAATTCTCATGTATATATATTCAAAAGAACAAGAGCTACTCATAATGCTCTCCATATAATCATTTTCAAGTATGAAGAAGATGAAAAAGAAAACTAATTATTAATCCAATATGAAAACCGAGATATTTGCAATATCAAAAAACCAAATTCTCATGTATATATATTCAAAAGAGCAAGCACTACTCCTAAATTATCTTCATACAATCCTTTCCAAGTATAGAGAAGAAGAAAGGGAAATCCAAATACTGATCCAATATGAAAATTGAGAAATTTGTAATAACAGAAAATCAAATTCTCATAGATATATTTTTAAAAGAACAAACCCTATTCCTAAATTCTCTACATACAATCACTTTTCATATTTGAAGAGAAGAAAAAGGAAATGTAGCTATCGATCTAACATGAAAACTGAAATATTTGCAAAAGCAGAAAACCAAATGATCATGAATATATTTTCAAAATAACAAGCACTACTCTTACTTTCTCTCCACCAAAGCAACAAAACCCTTAAATCAACTAAACATCTCAAACAAACAAACGTTAAAATGAGAAATGTATAGCTAAAAGAGTTAAAGAAGCAATAAGATACCAAAATTAAACCACAAGAACATAGATAAGGGGAGACATTATACATATAGAGATGACAAACGAAGATAGCTGAAAGAGACAGATCGAGAATTTTCTCTAAAACCGCAGCAGAAGAGAAAGCGGTTGGGGAGGGGGGATAGAGAGATGAAGCGAACCAATGATAATATCAGAGATATGGGGAGAGATAATGCCATTTTCATGGGGTAGCAAATAGATTTTGTAACCGAAACGGAGTATCCACCGTTGAACAAACCGGCTCCCCTACATTCTCACTTTCTCCGTTTCATGGATGACTAGCACCAAAAAACAAAACAAAAACTAAATGTTAAACGCATGAATACAACTTTTGAAAACAAAAAGCCCCCAAAACAATGCCTCAAGCAGGACCTAAAAGGTGAAGTGGCTTAGCTACGATTTTGGGGAAAGAAAGGGAGTGATAAGCGGCGTAGGCCTTGATTCGTGGTGGCATTGAGCTGGCGGAGGCTATGATAATGTGATTATGGCGATCAAGATTTCATTTAAAGGAGCTTCATCGTTTACAAATTTTTTTCTAAAGTCACATCTGAATAAATAATGATAGAACTGATGACCCTGAAACAGAAATTACCTTTTAAATAATTTTTTTTATGATTTTTAATATTAATAATAATAATTTTTAAAAAAATTTTATAAATAATTTTACAAAACAAACAAAGATGAAGGGACAAGAATACAAACGATAGCACATAAAATTTTGAACAATATGCTTATTTTACATTCATAAAGATACATACTTCTTCACTTCTCACAACCACATTAATTAAACTATTTTAGAATTATAAATTAAATATAATTAAAAATATGATTACAATAAGCTTATTTTAAATTATATTTCAAATATTATGCTATAAATTAATTATTTATCTTGTAGTTAATTAAAAATTATCAAGTCGAATTAAGGGTCCGTTTGGCGTAGCTGCAAACGTGGGCCGCGTATCGACCGTCGGACCCGCGGGCCGTATTTCAGAATAAGAGCACTAAAAAGCTGCAACGCTGAATTTACTCATAAAAAGTCAGAATATTCAAAATTTTAAAACGAACGTCCCTGCTTCTGCGTCCCCTTCTTTCTCTCCCAACCACAGATTGACTTCTTCCCGGAGGAAAATTCTCCAAACGTCTTCTTCCTCCTCCAACCTCCTCAACAAAATTCCCTCCTTTATTTCATCATCAATTTTCTCCTTCCACCATTTCCCTGCACGCCATTCCATGGCGTCCACAAACAAAACCCAAATCTTTCTTCATCTTCTTCTCATCTCCATCACCTTTCTCAATCGCATCTCTGCCACCATCAATGGCGTCTACAACCCCTCCGTCTTCATGCTTCTCAACTGCGGCTCATCTTCCGATGAACTCGACGCCGATGGTCGAAAATGGATCGGCGAACATTCCTCCAAAGCTTCCGCCATTGGCATCACCTCCCCCAAATCAACCCCTTCAACCGCCTCTTTTCAAGATCCATCTCTCCCATCCACCGTTCCTTACATGAAAGCAGCCATTTTTGAATCTGAAGCAACTTATAAATTCTCTGTCAGCAAAAAGGAGCGTCTTTTAATCCGTCTTCATTTCTATCCCGCCTCCTATAATGGCCTCAGCCCAGAAAATGGATTCTTCAATGTGCTCGCTTTCCCTGCCACCATTGATGCTGGTAGTTTCACCCTCCTTCACAACTTCAGCGCTTATATAACTGCCCAAGCATTAACCCAAGGCTACATTATAAGAGAATTTACCCTCCCACCGATTAATGATGATTTCCTCTCCCTCACCTTTACTCCAGCCGCTGGTAATCACAATCCCTTTGCTTTCATTAATGGCATCGAGTTAATCTCAATGCCAGACATGTTCCCTGAATCCGCCGCCATGGTTGGCTTCAGTGACAGCTCTGTCACCATTGAAGCATTTGCTTTACAAACAATGTATAGACTGAATGTAGGGGGACAATTCATTCCTCCAAACAATGACACAGGATTTGGTCGCACATGGTATGATGATACACCTTATATCGCCGGAGCAGGGGTTGGCGTCACGGCGGCCATAGGGCCGCGTGTCAAAATTCAATACCCAATGAATTTACCGGCATACATAGCTCCATTGGATGTGTACAGAACTGCGAGACAGATGGGACCAGATCCTAAATTGAATATTCAATATAACCTCTCATGGTCTTTCCAAATCGACAGCAATTTCACTTATGTGGTGAGACTCCATTTCTGTGAAATCCAGCTTCCTAAAGTGAACCAGAGAGTTTTTGATATATTTATGAATAACCAGACCGCACAAAAAGACGTTGATGTCATCGCTCTTGCTTCGTCTATGGCAGTTCCTGTTTATAAAGATTATGCAATTTTTGTTAGCCAAGATGAGCAATTGTTGGTGGAGCTCCACCCTTCTGTTGATTCAAAACCAGAGTTTTTTGATGCAATTTTAAATGGAATGGAGATATTTAAATTAAGCGATGCAGGCGGGAACCTCGCCGGACTGAATCCGAAGCCGTTGGAGATTCTTGAGAATGAGTTAGAACAGCAGGATTATTCCAGTAAGAAACTGCATGTGATTGGTGGTGCTACATTTGCTGTTGCTGCTGGTCTCATCTTTGCCCTCTGTTTCATTGTTTATCAGAGAAAAAGAGTAGTAATTGATAATGCAACTGATGTTAGTGGCTCGGGTTGGCTCCCACTTTACAGGAATTCTCACACTACTGGAAGCAAATCCACCATCTCCTCCAAAAGCTGCGCAAGCAGTCAGCTTTCCAACATGGCAACAAGTCTCTGTCGCAATTTCTCCATTTTTGAAATAAAGCAGGCAACAAAAAACTTTGATGAGTCTCTTATTATAGGTGTTGGTGGATTTGGGAAAGTGTATAAAGGAATAATCGATGGAGGTTCAACCAGAGTGGCTATAAAAAGAGCAAATCCTGATTCAGAACAAGGCTTGCATGAATTTCAAACAGAAATTGAAATGCTGTCCAAGCTTCGGCACAAGCACTTAGTCTCACTCATCGGATACTGCGAAGAAGACAATGAAATGTGTCTCATTTATGACTATATGTCTAATGGAACATTGAGAGAACATCTTTATAAAACAGACAAGCCGGCTTTGTCATGGAAACAGAGGCTCGAGATCTGCATAGGAGCGGCGAGAGGGCTTCATTACCTTCACACAGGAGCCAAGCACACAATCATTCATAGAGATGTAAAGACTACAAATATACTTCTGGATGAGAATCTCGTGGCTAAAGTTTCAGACTTTGGGCTGTCGAAGACGGCTCCATTGCTGAACCAGTCTCATGTAAGCACTGTGGTGAAAGGAAGCTTTGGATATCTTGATCCTGAATACTTCAGGAGACAACAATTAACTACTAAATCAGATGTTTACTCCTTCGGAGTTGTGCTATTTGAGGTATTGTGCGCACGGCCGGCTCTTAATCCCAGTCTTTCAAAGGAGCAAGTTAGCCTTGCGGATTGGGCAATTCATAATAAAAAAAAAGGTACAATTTTTGAGATTCTCGATCCTTTCCTGAAAGGAAAGATTAAGTTCGAATGTTTGAATAAGTTTGTGGAGTTGGCCGAGAAGTGTGTTTCGGAGCATGGAGTTGATAGGCCGGCCATGGGTGATGTGCTTTGGAACCTTGAGTTTGCGTTGCAGTTGCAGGGGAGTCATGAAGATGGAGAGGCGAGCTCTCATGAAAGTGGGGACAATGGTGAATTGCTCCATTTGTCAAATGGAGGAGATGGAAGCGCTAATGAAATGAGGGAGGTGTTGGATGATTTAAATGAAATGTCAGTTTTTTCGCAGTTTGTCAATCCAAAGGGAAGGTAAACAAACCATTGAAGGAAGATGATGCGGAGGTTATAGGATTAAATGATCATTTTGTCTTTTGAAGGAAAATTGTTTCCTTCTGGTTGAGTTTTTTTTTTTTGTTATGTTGATGTCAGTTTGTTTGGTTTTTTTGCTTAACATATGTTTGTATATAGAAAGATGACATGATATGTTCTGCTCGAATAATTATGCTTAATTTTGTTGCTAAGTTAAATTCTAAATATTAATATAGTCTTATTATATATATATATATATATATATATATATATATATTTGTGAAAATTTCTCATTCTCCCATCTGTCCCTTCCTTATCTTGTTCAATCTTAGCATAAGCTTCTCTTGAGAAAAATCTACCAAACCACCTCCTCCACTTGTGAAAAATTTCCTCCTTTATTCCATAATCAATTGCCTACATCTTTCACCACAGTATGGCCTTCATTAAATAAATTGCTTGAACCACCTCTTTATAAGTTCCATCTTTCCTCTCATAGGTTTTAAATTCGATGATAACAATCTGTGAATATGAAGAAACTTATAAATTCTCTATAAAATAAATGAATGTTCTTAGTATAGCTTGATTTCTATGCTAAGTCCTATAATGACCTCAACCTTAAGAATGAAGTTTTTAATGTGGGTCATTAGTAGTGTCACCCTTCATTGCAACATTTGTACCTATATAATTGCCCAAGAATTTACATAAGACTACATTTCTCGCTACCTAAAGTCAACGCTGGCTTCCCCGCCCTCACATTTACTCTAGCCAAGTGTCATCCTCGAGCCTTCACCTTCATTAGCAACATCAAGGTGATCAATGTCTGACATCTTTATCACCACCATAATAATTATTTAATTTAGCAAAAACTCTATCATTACTAGAGCCTCCACCATTTGGATAATGTAAAGACTCAAAATTGAATTTAGTTGAAAATTTTTGTATTATAAAAAAGGGGATTTGCTTCACAGTGAGTCATATGCAAAAATTTTGCACCCAATGAATTTTTCGGCATACATAACTCTGCCATAAAGGGTAGTGAAATGGAAGAGAGACCAAATATAATAGTAAATATGCATTATAACCTCTGATTGTCTTTTCAAATCAATGGCAACTTTACATTGGTGGTAGTAACCCATTTTTATGAAATCTATCGTGCAAAAATGAACATAGAGTTTTTAATATTTGATCATAACAAGACAACATAAATCACATTGATATTATTGTCTCAAATTAATCTATGTTGATACCTATTAGAAATGTTGTACCATTTATATTGAAAAAGAAGAGGATCTACCAGTAGTGATTTAGTAGTGATCCACCATTTATCTAGTTTACAACCAGAGTTTTAATTCAATTTAAATGTATCACAATATTAAAGTTAGGTTTATCATTAATTCCAATTCAAGCTAAGTTATGTTATGTTATGTTATGTTTAGGCTTTTATAAATTAAACTTGAGATAAAAATCATTTTATGTTTAGCAAAACTCAACTTGAGGTTAAGTGCAAATTTATTTTTAAATTAGTTTTAATTTAATTTAGTTTATGTTTGATTAGATTGTGTTTTACTCAAATTATTATTTTTTTATATAATTTAGCTTTAATCTTAACCAAAGAAACCACACAAGCTAATCATGCATTGAGTCAGGCCAAGCCTAACATTGGCTCAGCCTCCCCTTGCTCCAAATTTGACTTAATTATCACTAGACTCCCAACCAAACATGATGAGCTAGGTTCCAATTATGGCTCTCTTAGAATTGTATGGAATAGATTGAGCTCACCATACCGAGACCAAAATCACACAAGGGCACTAGGAAGGGATCTTAGACTGGGAAAAAGGGAGGTCAATGCCTCAATTAGATCGAGTTGATCAAAATTAAGGTGAAAACCTATACAGAAGTTAGTTTTTTCATTATTCTCCATGTTGAACCTTTTCTTATTTTGTTTTAAAAATAATAAAATTTTGAAGTTTTAATATACTTGTGATCAGATCTAAGATTTCATCAAACAATCTCTATCAAAACAAAAATAGTTTAATGTTGCATAATAGAGTCATACATTTCTGTGAATCAAGATCAAGAATATCCCATTTCAATTTAAGAAGGAAACTTTGCTAACTTAAAAGTATAACAGAGTCAACAAAGCCTTAAATCATAACATATACCTAAATTAGTGGAGGGGCAGCGATTGGAGATTGGTAGAGGCTGCAACTAAAGAGTGACAAAAGAGGGCTGAATCTTGAATGAAGCACATAATTAAGAGGCTCACATGCAGAAGTTTTAGAATTTAGAGGGGCAAGGAAATAAAATCCTAAGTAGAAAATTAGTGCCATGACAGCCTATGTAAAACTTTAGTAGACGAGATTGGGATGAATCACTTAGATAAATTCATTTGTATTATATTACAAAAAGATATAGAAATTTTAGTGTTTGCTATAATGGAATCTTTAACAATTATTGAAAGTGCTAATACAACTCAAGAAAATTTTTTTTTTGTTGTACTTAACAACATAAGTGCTTCTAAAAGAATACTCTTTGATAATGGTTTAACCATTGATATATAGTGATACATACAATTGCACTTTTTAGTGGTGAGTTGATTAATTTTTTTAGTCAACTCATTCTATATCTGTTGCGGCTCGTTATTAATTCAGAGTGCGAGCGTATGGACATACAAACATACTTATATTACTACACTCTACACCTAGGGCGGGGGGGATTTGACCCATGATCTGAGGGGACTTACGACCTTCAAAGAGGCTGCTCTACCAATAGGCCACAGAACGCGCACATATACATACATATAAATACATACACGCGCGCGCACACACACATATCTATCCGTATATATCTCTCTCTATCTATCTATGGTGCAGAGAGAGATGGCTGCACTAGTTTAATTAAAAGGGAATGAAAAAAAATCATAAAAAAAAAATGTCCGGATCACTTCTCTATCTTTAGAATCAATTTGAGCCAAATACAAATCCTAAAACCGACCAATTCAATTCAAATTCCGACAAATCCTGAATATCCTCCCTTAGTAATTTCCTTACACACATCTCCATGACTATTTCTCTTTCCAGTGTTTAGAACACTGAGCCAGGGCCTCTCAGAAGCTTCATCCAAAGACCACCTCTGTTGCCCTTCCGGCATTAAAGAAAGAAGCAAAAACTGTATTTTTTTTTTCTTCTTCTTCTTCTTTCGTCTTCTCCTTCTCTCTTTTTGTCTTTTCTTTTACTTGGTTGAACAGCAGCAAAGCGAGCATACAAGTGCAGCACTGATGAAAGTAAAAGAGATCTGTTTGCTTGTCTTTTTACAAAACCTATAAGCGACGATCTTCCTTCTTTCCTTCCTTTCTTTTTTATTGTTCCTTTTCTTTCTTTTCTTTGAGAAATATACCCTTTTTTTAATGATATAACACATTGGGTTTGTGCATGGTAGATGCAACACTTTGTATATCTACGCATATGTATGTATGTCTATGTATGTATACACACACACACAAATATACATATACATATACATAGATATACATACATATGCATAGATTAAGGCTTTAGAAGAGGTTTTGTGTGGAAATGCTTGTAAAAGTTATCTTTTTGGCTATAAATTAATATTTCTATACACACTACTATTGGATATGATTTTTGAACTGAGCATTAGTCCATGTTTATGAGAGTAATTAATAGTGAGGACAGCTCACAATTCTCTTGCCCCATAAAAGGTTAAATTTGACCAAATATGCCAAATCATATGCAAAATTAGAAAAATATGACTGCTATTTTTTTTCTTAAGAAAATATAATTAAATGTTTATTTTTTTTTATTAAAGAGCACAAAGGCTCCATTTTATTACCACTAGAAAAAAATTACAAAAAAAAAGGGATAAGGAACCCAACCTAAGCACTATACAACTCACTTGAATAAAAGAAAAAGGGTTCCTATATCCCAAAAAATAAAAAAATACAACTCACACCACACCCCGAAACAACCAGAAACCAAATCAAGAAAGGTCCTTAATGACTAAAGCCAATAAATTATCAGGAAATATAAAGAGAAGTTTAGCATTCGAAAGAGTATACCCAGCCTTTGCAGCCCAGTGAGCAACCAAATTGCATTCTCTACGAACATGCGCCCAAATAACATTCATATTCTCTGTTAAAGCTTGAATTCTCTTTATCTGCAGCATAATGCTCCAATGCACCTCTTTATTTCACTGCAACACTTCCAAAGGATCAGAGAATCCATTTCCATAATAAGATTACGAAATCCTAACTTTTTAGCAACCATTAGACCAAAGACCATTATATAATTAAATGTTTATATCGAACCAAAATATCATGTTGTTTTACATTTGAATTCTTACAAAAATTTGGCCATAAATGACAACAATTCGAATGTAATTTAAATTAAATTTGAAGAAAATTCTGATCTACTTTGAACCATTCTCAAATTTTATTTGAACCAAGCTAAGATAGGATTTGATCTTTGTTTTAGTATACTTCGGGCAAGAGTGCAACTTTGTATATAAAAAAAAAAAATTGAATGTAGTTTAAATATGTTTCAGACAAGACAATAAATTTTACTTATAAAGCATGATATAAAAATTGCTTATATTAAAACAAAACCTAAAAAATATGCAATTTAATTCTTATAATGACAAAATTTTTTCTTCAATGGAAAATTTTAATACAAATTTTAAAAAAGTGATAATACATATAAATATTTTTTGAAGACATATTTTAGCTATCTTTTTTTTTTAAATTAATTTTTTTTTATTATTCCTTAACTTTTCATGATGTCATTATTAGCTTAGCATATGTGTGAAGAGCCGCATAAAGAGCTATAAAAACTAGCACACTGACTAAATCAAACACATAAAGACACTAAAAAAGGCATATAAACACTAATCCACTACAACATTCTCCTTAGCATCAACAATATGCTCCTACAAGGAACTTTTAGTTAGACCCCTTTTCAAGAACTTGAATATAAGACATGACTATTGACTTCATATTTGTTCCACCTTTAGCTGAATATATTGAGCTCAAATCAACTAGGATTTGGGTGGGTTTCATTTGAGCTAAAAATTAAATTAAATTTAAATAAAATCAATTTCTACTCTATATTAAAAAAATAATAAAACAAAACTAATTAAAATATA